ATTATTGTCCTTGCCTTCAAGCCCCAAGTTGAGACTTGTTGTTAGCTTGACAGCAAACACTGCTATAAGCATTTACTTGTCCTGTCATAATGCTATCAGGGATAAAATATGGCATCATCTTCTAATCTGTTTCTGTATTGAAGGGTAATCATTCCAGAGAATAAAACTAAGACTCCACATCCAATAAATCACACTACACTACACTTCACATATTAACATTTTTAAAAATCTGACTTAAACACATAGTCAAATCAAGAGGACATGTGTGAGCTCTAATGAGCTGTGCCAAATCCTACATTATTAAAATTCATTGTTATCTCAGAGACCACAAGCTTTTATAAAATGGAAAGTGGTACCAATATATTTTTGGACTACTTTCTAATTAATATTCTGGTGAAAATAGCACAGTAAGTAAGCAGTAAGAATTATATGCACTATGAACATATCTTTCAAACTAATGTAGAAGATAAATGGGCAATTACTTACATTATCTTATTAGAAGTTTTAATATTCACTCAATTATTCCAAAAAAGCAAAATATTTTTCCACTAAAACCCTAGCTATAGTCTTCCTCATTCAATGACAAACTTCAATATTTTAAGTGGAAAGTCAGTAGTATAACTGGGAAATACAGAAATGAGGGGAAGATGAAAGAATGCAATTTTCCTGTCCATATATACAGCTAATATACAAATGATCCCAACACTTTACAATATTAATACCAAACATCTAATATATTTCTGGGAATAAAATTATGAAAGAAATGGCACTTCATAGTCCCAATTACTAAGGATAACAACAAATACGGTTTGTGCACTGCTTTCACTAGAATAAGAGATTTACATTTATAAGATAAAGCAAAATAACAGCATAAACATTCTAATTTTATAGCTTTTAACTACAGAATGATCTGTAGTTTGTGTTTTTTAACCTTTGGACTATAATTTTATTCCTATGTGTAAAGATATATGTGGATATTAAAAACTCAGCTCACCTACACATACTCCATTTTCAAACATAATGGAAAATTTAGCAATAAAGTCCTTTCTCTGAAAACAGGCTTACTACTACATCACTATTCATTATAAAGATAGAACTACCTTAACAAATAGACCAAACTGGATTCAGCAAATTTGCAGGATACAAAATTAATACACAGAAATCTGTTGCATTCCTATATACCAACAACAAACTAGCAGAGAGAGAAGTCAGGAAAACAATTCCATTTACAATTGAATCAAAAAGAATAAAATACCTAGGAATAATCCTAACCAAAGAAGTGAAAGATCTGTATTCTGAAAACTTTAAGACACTCATGAGGAAATTAAAGAAGGCACAAATAAATGGAGCTCTATCCCATGCTCATGGATAAGAAGATTTAATATTGTCAAAACAGCCATTATGCCCAAAGCAATTTACAGATTCAATACAATCCATATCAAAATACCAACAGCATTCTTCAATGAACTAGAACAAATAGTTCTAAAATTCATATGGTGCCACTAAAGACCCCTAATAGACAAAGTAATCCTGAGAAAGAAGAGCAAAGCTGGGAGGATTATGCTCCCTGACTTCAAGCTCTACTACAAAGCCACAGTAATCAAGATGATTTGGTACTGGCACAAGCATAGGTCCACAGATCAATGGAACAGAATAGAGAGCCCAGGTATAAACCCACACATATATTGTCAATTAGTACATGATAAAGGAGCCATGGATATACAATGGGGAAAAGAGTCTCTTCAGTAACTGATGTTGGGAAACTGGACAGCTACATGTAAGAGAATGAAACTGGATTACTGCCTAACTCCATACATAAAAGTAAACTTGAAATGGATTAAAGATTAAATATAAGATATGAAACTATAAAACTCTTAGAAGAAAACATAGGCAAAATCTCTTGAACATAATATGCATGAGCAACTTTTTTCCCGGACACATCTCCTCAGGCAAGGGAAGGGAAATAAAAAATGAACAAATTGGACTACATCAAACTAAAAAGCTTCTGTACAGCAAAGGACACCATCAGCAGAAGAAAAGACTGTTAGCTGATAAGGGGTTAACATCCAAAATATACAAGGAACTCATATGCCTCAATATCCAAAAAACAAATAACCTGATTAAAAAATGGACAGCAGCTGTGAACAGAGAGTTCTCCAAAAAGAAATACAGATGGCCAACAGGCACAAGAAAAGATGCTCCACATAACTAATCATGAGAGAAATGCAAATCAAAACCACAATGAGGTATCACCTCACACCAGTTAGAATGGCCAAAAGACAAGAAGCAACTAGTGTTGGTGAGGATATGGAGAAAAGGGAACCTTCTTACTCTGTTAGGAATGTAAATTGGTACAGCCAGAGTGGAAAGAAGTATGGAGGTTTCTCAAAAAGCTAAAAATAAAAATATTATACAACCCAGTAATTCCACTTCAAGGAATTTAACCAAAGAAAACAAAATGCCTGATTTAAAAAGATATATGCACCCCCATGCTTATTGCCACATTATTTACAATAGCCAAGAAATGGAAGCAACCTAAGTGTCCATCAATAGATGAATGGATAAAGAAGATGTGCTACATATACACAATGGAATGTTATTTAGCCATAAAAAAGAAAGAAATCCTGACATTTGCAACAACATAGATGGACCTAGACAGTATTATGCTAAGTGAAATAAGCGAGGTGGAGAAAGACAAATACCATGTGATTTCACTTATTTGTGGAATATAAGAACAAAACAAAACAAAATTAACAAAATAGCAATAGACTCACAGACACTGAGAAATGACTGATGGTTACCATGGGGGAGGGGTTGGGGTAGGTGAGTGGGGAAAGTGAGGGAGATAAAAGGGCACAAAAATTCTCAATAATAATAGAAGTTGGTTACAGAGATGGTAGTACAGCATGGGAGAATATAGTCAGTGATTCTGTAACATCTTCCTGTGTTGACAGATAACAACCATACTAGTTGGGGTAAGGATTTAATAATGTGGGGGTAACTGCTGAACCACTGTGCTGTATACACTTGAAACCAATATAAGATTGTGTATCAACTATTGTTCAATAAATAAATAGACAAGAAGCTCAGTGGTCTTATTTTTTTTCCTTTCATCAATTGAGGCTTCCTGCCAGTCCAGTTATGAAAATAATTCTTCACCTTTTCCTCAAATCTGAGTGTTTCTTTAACTATGCCATATATCATCACATCTCCATAGTCCAGCTTCCTATCATAACAACTGTTTACTGCAATCCCACCTCCAGTTTCAACAGGGTATTTAATTTTTTTTCATATTAGAGGAAAAGTTGAGATTAGGGGTTCAAATCCTCAGAGTAGTTCAGTGAACTGTCACATTAATATTACTTAATCCCAGGGAATTTTCTGTTTAATTGCCACTCTCTCCCTTCTCCCAAAGGACTACATCTTATTTTGATGGTGTAATGGAAAGCACTGCATTACAGAATAGCAAAAACATAATCAGTTCAAATTTTTAAACATCTAACCTTTACACAAGTTGCTGTTAATCATTTGCACAATCACAGAAGCAAAATCTCCAGCACAGAACTAGGTAAAGACGCCCTAATCACAACCATTACCATTTGCAGGAGGTTGGGGGGGAGGGTGCCATCTGTGACATAAGGAAAGTTTTATATGTCAGTTCCACCATTCCACCAAATCCTGAGAACAGTAGAGCTCCTAGTACTTAAAATCTCCATCTTCTGGAAGTCAAGATTTTAAAAATATTTATCTTACCGTATTTTCAAATATTAAGTTTTTACTTTCGGCAACAATTTTTCAACTTTAGGGCTCAGGGGAAAAGAAAGATTTCAGAATAAGCACAACACTAAAGGCGGGGGGTGCTAGTCTTTTAAATCATTCTCCCCACAGAGAAATTAGACCATTAACAACACCACTTGACCATTTATTTCATTATGAAAGGCAAACTTACAGCACAAGTGGCAATATTCTGAAAATGTGATGGAAGTTTTTCTTCATCAATGAACACACAAGTTTAGAAGGTACAAATATGGTCTGTCAGTTGTAGTCAATCCTCAGCAAGTGATTTGTCCTGTGAGCTGAGGCTCCCATAACATGGAAATCTTCCTTACCTGCTAAAGGCTGAAAGGGATTCCCTGTGAACAGCATCTGGACCACACCTTGTTTGGTCACACAAGAAGCTGACAAGGGCTGGAAGAAAATGCATCTGATCCAAAGATGAGAGGACAAGCCAAGAATCAAAATATTCCTCTCTCCTATTTAATGGGGAGGGCCCCTAAAATGGCTATTTATCCAATTCTGTTCTATTCAGTCCTGGCCATCCACTACCAGATGTTGGTTATTTCTGTGGGCTGGCCATTAGGATTTGTGGTCCAGCAGGTACCAGCCTTTTATAACCTCAGTGATGTTGTGGAAGCTTCCATTTGGTATATAAATACGCTTTTTGGCATTAAAACACTGCCAAGTGAAATATTAGAGAAAAAACTCCCCACCCACTGCAGAAATTTCCCACTTTCAAAGCATCTGGGATGAAGATTCCAAATTACCTGTAGCAAAATTTCTTTTAAACATTGTTTTTAATGCTCTTGCTTGCTGAGGAACCTATTGAGGAGCCTCCCAAAGATGATACCCACATTTCAGGTCCTATATTTATTTACCTGGTGAGGGAAGGAAGGAGAAGTGTTTGATAGTTACCCAGGATCCTTCCACTTGTAGCAGAATGAACACCAAAAAATCATTAAGACAAGCAACTCCTTAGAGATTTAAAAGCCTTCCGCAGGAATAAAGAAAAAAAGAGATCTCTTCCTCCCCACCGGTACCCCCCTGTTTCTGCCCTGGCCTTAGATTCAGCAGCCCTTCTGTAATTCCATGCGGTTCGAGAGAGAATCCTTTATTCCATGCGGCTCCCGGATCTGACCCCAAGAAAGCCGGTTGGTCATCCTTCTCCCCACCCTTCCAACCTCCACACCTAACCCTCCCTACCGCCCAAGCCACCTCCTTACCTGATAATGTCGTCGTTGTGTCCCAGGAAGAATTTTTGGCTGTGCTCGCGGGTGTTGTAAACCACCCCGACCCCCGCCACAAAGTAGACCACCTCCTTGCCGGCGGTGTAGTACAGGTTGTTGCGGCACTGGTGACCCCGGTACCCGTACACCCACTCCAGCCGGAGCTGGCAGCTGGGAGCTGTCCGATCCGCCATGATAAGCCGACCCCAGCGCCCCCGGTCCCCCTGCGCGCGCTCCGCGGCCCCTGCGCCCCTAGTCTGTCCTCGCCAAGGCTCGGGCTGCGGAGGACCTGCAAGGGCTCAGTGTGCAGCGCCGGGCGCTGATTTCCGCGGCGACGCACAGACACAGCCCAGCGCGCCGGCCACCACCATCATCCGCCGCCGCCGGAGACAAGCCGCCGGTGCGCGGCCGCCAGACCCCGCCGGGCGCCCCGGCTCTCTCTCCCCGGGCGAGGAGTCTTCGCGGGCGCCAGCACCCGCGCGCACGCCTCACTGCACCTGCGGGCTTCGGCCCCCGGGAGAGGTTCTTGGCGGGGTCACCCCGCCTTTTAAATCAGGGATCTGCATATCCAAACACTGATTACCCAGTCTGCTCACTGAAGTTTGCAGTGCGCGGGGGCTTCACAGCAGGCAGCGGGATTTATTCTGTGACAGCTTTGATTTGACAGGGAGCCGGGGTAAGCTTTGCCATCACTATCCTTGGATCCAAAACTGACAGTCTATATCTAGGATGCAAGAGCGAGGAGGAAAGGAACAGAATTTTTTGCATAAGTCACCCAGTCCAAGAAAATGATCCCCAAACTAAACCAAGTTTGTTTTTCTTTTAAAGACAACTATTCCCCCTTCCTCTCCTGTCATCCATCTCCTTAATGATATAAAGTATGTTCTAAATGCTGCCGGCTAGTGGTTGCAGATACGATTTGAAGAACATTTGCTGTTGTACCATTAAGCCAGGGTGCAATGGTCATTTTTTAGATGCGCCAATTAGTTATCGTGTATGTGTTTAAAATTCATACCCTCAGTGAACCCTCTCTTGGCCGAGCAAACCATAAAGAACTTAGCAGCTCTCACTAGTCAGAAACTCCAATTGCAAGTGTCATAAGATTTTTTCTGAATCGGAGAAAACAAGACACTAGTGCAGTTGGAGGCAGGAAAGCGCTACCTACAAATGCTCCCGTTCCAGAAGAATTTAAATAATTAACAAGTGGCAAAAACTGTGTACCTTTCCCCAGGAAAGTGTGCGCTAACTACGGGTCCCCCTCGGGCTCAAAGGTCACGCCTCTACCGCGGGGAGGAGGTGGGGAACGCCCGCGGAACCACTGGAGACTGCAAGTCTCCCACACACACAGACCCCGCATCTGCCGCCGCGGTTCCGAGGGATGTCTGGCCCAGGCACACCCCGGCCCGCGCTCCCTGCCGCCCTGCTGGTATCCTGCACTCCTCCCACACCCAGCCTCGCCTGCGGAGCGTCCTCGCTCTATTGGCCTCTAACCTCTGCTCGGAGCGGGCGCCGGCTGCACGTCCCGGTTCTCGCACGAGCGAGCAAAATCCTCTGCCTGCCCTCCCCTACTCGCCTCCCGCACCCGACAATGGGCTTCGTCACTGGAGCGCCGCGAAAGACAGGTTCTTCTCCAGCGGTGGCTCCGGGGGCGGGGCCACAACACAGCTTTCGACCGGTGGCGGCGGGTTACTAGGCGAGATCGCGGCGCTTAGAAACGGAGACGCCCCAGAGCGGTGGGGCCGCCCCTCCCTCTCCGTCCAAGTTGGCCCTTTCCCGGATGCATCCTGGGAAGTGTAGTCCTCTCAACGCCGGCTCGGGTTGCTAGCGCGCGCAGCGGGAGCGCAAGTCCCAGAATTCCGCGCACCCAGGGTGGGCCGTTGAGAGGCCGTTACTGGCGCCGCCACTGCCTGCGGTTCTCCCGCTGAGCGGAGGAAGGCGACCGAGGGTGATGGCTCGCCAGCGCCCTGCCTTACCTAAGACATTGAGGCTGCAGGCACGCGTGCGTTTGTATCTAAGGAAAAGAGCAAAGGGTTCGGGGTAAAGGCAATCTCTACGGCCCACCTCGAAAATTTTTTCTGCACCCGCCCCGAAGATTACTGTAGCCTACTCAAGACCAAGTTTATACCTCCTTCAGTTTTCCTTTTTATTCAATGGGTTCAAATATGTTAAAGTGCAGTGCTGCCACGTTTAAGAAAAATGCTGGGAATGTGGTTTCACTTTGCCCTAAGAGCCAGCTCCTTCCCATGAGGTGCCTCTAAAGTTAGAGGACTTGGTTATTTAAGGCACATTTGGAAAACAGGAAGGTGCTCACGCCATGAATAACTAACCTCAAATGTAGAAGCCAGTGGCATTTTTCCTAAAACTGCCGAAGTCAACAATGAATTCAACTAAAATGGGGGCCACAGTTGACCTGTAGGAAGGGATTACAAAATCCCAGTGACTCAAACGCTGCAAAAGGATGATAGAAGGGATAGTAGGAGCATGTCCTTTCCACGCTTTCAGTGTAATTGCTTACCCAGTTCTTCAGCTACCTGGAGCTTTAATACAGCCCTCTGAATGGTAGGAAAGTTTCCAGATTAGAAGTGCTAGAGTTTGAATGAGCAGTTGCTGCCTGCAGCAATAAAGAGGATGTGAGTTGCTCTGAAGGTTCTTTTGAGGGCAACCGGAATCTACAAATATGTGAGTTGGCATTGTGCTAGCTATAAGGGCACTACCAAAAACATAAATAAAAACAAACATGGCTTTAACAAGATGTGAGACATAAGCAAAAGTATAAATGATGAATAATGCCATACCATAAAACAGTGCTAATGAACTGTATAGAGACAATAAATTCTATATAAGAATTCAGAAGATGAAGCTCTTTTTCAGCCAAAATAAATTAGGAAACACTCTATGGAGGCAATAGGAAATACAGGTAGAATTGAGATAAGTAAAGATAAAGAACATTCTAGGGGCCTATGGAATAAAACAGATTTAAAGACACTAAATAGAATTACTGCAACAGAAAATTCATGTAAAATGTGAAAGGGTCGTAAATCTGAAAAGTTAGATTGTGAGTGGAACTGATGTAGAAGTTTGCACTGTATCCTTAAAATAATGGAGAACCATTGATTTTTTTTTTTTTTTGAAGAGAGGAATAGCAGTGAAAACAGTAGTAGTCAAAACATGAGGTAGTACTTGAGGTACCACGGAAGCCTGAGTTAGTACTTGAGCTATCACATTAGCGGTAGTAGGATTGGTCCAGAAAGGGACATCTTCCAGAGAGTATGCAAATGTATGTTGAATCCCCTAAACAAATAGAAATGGATGGAACATGACATGTACTTTTCTTCAGTTACTGTTAATATAACTAAGCACCTTGCTAAACCAGAATGTCCTTTAAGTTAAATAAATTGAAGTAAGTTCTGGGTATGCCACTTAGAATGTTCGCTTAAGCAAATCACTAAATCCTCCCAGTAAAGTTGAGAACTAGAGAGAATAACTAATTTAATCAAAATTACACAATAAGTGACAGAACCAGAACTCAAAACTCAGGTCTGCCCAACTACAGAGCTAGTACTATTAACGACTTGTGTCGCGTGCCCTGTCCTCGCCGGCAAGAACAGCATGCAACAACAGCAGGATTCTTCTGCAGAAAGCTTTATTCTTCAGCTCTTTGTGAAACAAATGAGTTGGGCAGGACCCAGAGGGGAAGGAGAGGCTTGCTTATATAGTTCTCATGCTCTGACCTGGTTGGTGCGGCTCCATATGCCTTATTAGCATAACCATTTGGTGGGTCTCATTGGTCCTTATGCCAAGGCGCAATTAGCATGTAGTTTAGTGGTGTGGGATGATTTGTCATTAGGAAGTTCGGGGCCTTCCGGCTGCCCTGCATGGGGCGCTATTTTCTGAGCGCGGCTGCCAACATCTCCCCCTTTTTTGTCTAACAGAAGCTCAAGGCGGAACTTGCCAGCAGAGGCGGAGACAGAGGCCTGACCTCCATCATACTTCCTGATGCCCCCTTTTTGGAGAGGGGTTCTGGGCATCTACCCCTATGCAGTCAGGCATGCCTCTCAGAGGGGTCCAAGACCTCTTGCAGTGCTTTGCCTCGCATCCTCTGGCTGGCGTTGGGACCGCTTGGTACAAAGGGTTTGGACCCTTTTTCTCAACCCTCTTGCACCATGAGCTTCTTAAAGAAAGCTGTGATTAAGCATTGAGGTACTCGGGCCTGGTGCAGTGCCACATGGGCTCAGGGTGCAAGAGCTACCTCAAGCTAAAGCCGAGCTTCCTTCTTAAGCATGTTGAGCCACACTTGGGGAGAGGCGCCAACGTCTATCGCCATTAGGGCTTGAGCAAGGATCACCTTGTCCTGCTTATGTTGGTTGCGGAGTCTGCATAACAACCAGAGTAAGAGCATGAGACCTCCAAGCAGGAACACGCCCATCCCAGCCATGCCCGCCCACTCCTTGACGTGGGAGAGAGCTCTGAGGAACCAGGAAGAGAGTCCTTCCGCTACGGAGATATCTAGACGGGTGGAGTTGATGTGGATAATTTCTCGCCGCAGCTCTTCTAGTGTCCCATCGAAGTCTTGGGACCAGTTTCCTGAAAGATACTGGGACAGGTCTCGTGACAGATTAGCTGCCCGTGTAAAATTTTTATATTGAATGCTAGTGATGCAGAGGGCACGATATTTCCGCTCACATCCCAATTGGGCCATTTGCCAGAGCACCTCTATTTGTTCCTCCACGAGATCTATGCGTTGATTGAGGATCATTATTCCTCCTTTCAGTTTGCCATCAAGTGTGGACTGTTGGTCCAGGGCAGAAGCTACTGAGGCTGCAAGGTTATTGAGCTCTGTAGCCGATTTGATGGAGGTGTCTAAAGCTATACCAGCGGCGGTGGCTGCGACCGCGGTCGCGGAGATCAGGAGCACTATGGCGGCTGTAACACCGAAATCGCGCCTTTCTCGAAACAGAGTCATGGTGTTAGGGGCGTCTACGGGAACAGGGACCCAACGGGGGATGCGGACTACCAAAGCATTGGTAAAGTTACGCGCATCCCAACACTGAGACAGAAAGCAGGTTTCATTGGAGCAGGAGTCAAAGCTACTATTGGATAAGATAAACAGAAATGGGGGGTATACGCATACTGGAGAAGGTGGAAAAAGGGAATTAGGTGACTCTGGACCTGATTTTGCTGAACACGTGTAGTTCTCGTTGTTATGGGTCATGATCATGTTCCAGTGTGCGCGCATGTGGTTATTCTCGCACCAAAAGGTGATATTTTTTACACCGATTCCCCCACCCTGGAGGGCGGAAAAGGGGGAGAGGTCGGTACACGAGCCATTGACTCCACACAGCATCCATTTATGGAAGGGGTTCATGCTCAGCTGCTGACGAAACTCGCCTTCGAGCACCTTTACTGGCCACCAAGCCTCATTGGCTGGCCGTCCCTCCATATCTGGGGAGATGGTAAACTCCTGCCTCTCAGTTGCCCACGTTACTACAGTTGACTGACAGTCAGTCCAGGGCCACAGCTCTCCCTCATAGTCGCCCACACAATGGGAGGCATATTTGGGTTGACGAGGCCTGTCGGTGGAATTGTTCCTGGGAGAGTGTACAAATGTGCCATTGATCCAGAGAACCATCTGGTGGATAGTCATGTTCTTATAGGGCGGGCTCCCTTCCTTATTAGGCCCTTCAAATTTAGCTGACATAACGGGGAGGCTACTGGCCTCTAGAATTATGTCACTGAACCATCCGTATTTCCTCCGTTTCAGGGAGATACAGCCAGCTAGATTCTGAGTGGTGAAGCATAATGACCCATTAGTTACGAAGGATCGGTTTTCTCCCAGGGGAGCTACTAGGGTGTCTTTAACTAAGTAGGGCAAGTTCATACTAGCATTGGTAGTGAAAAAGCGCGGAAAAACGGCTGCATTGAAACGGACAGGCATAGGCTTAGGAAAGGCAGACAGGATTCCCCATCTCAATACTCCCTGAGTCGGGGTCTCCAGTGTCAGGAGCAGGGTCAGGAGGTACAGCGAAGTCATCTCCTTTGTTTAGGACTTTCCTCGTTAGGCGCTCCGGGATCCAGAAGGGATTTTCTTCACCCTGGGGGAAAACACACACAGCTCCCCTGGATCTGATTATGATTGGATCCGGGCCCTTCCATTGGTTAGATAACACGTCCTTCCATTTTACTAGTTCTTGTGGGTCTTTTGGCCACTGATTATGGCGATCCGCTGCTGTATGGCTTTGAGCATCCAGATTCAAAAAATTTATAGTGAAAAGTGCTAGGGCTATGGCAGTTTTTGGTGTGGGGGGTATATCTTCAATTCCCCCTTTTTGTTTAAGTAAATAGGATTTGAGCGTGCGGTTCGCGCGTTCCACAATCCCTTGACCCTGTGGGTTGTAGGGAAGGCCAGTGATATGTTTTATCCCCATGTGATGACAAAATTGAGCAAATTTTGTAGAGGTATAGGCTGGGCCATTGTCTGTTTTCAGAATCTGTGGTAACCCCCATGCGCTCCAAGCTTCAAGGCAGTGCTGGATGACATGGGAAGCTTTCTCTCCTGACAATGGGGAGGCAAAGATGACTCCTGAACAAGTATCCACGGATACATGTACATATTTCAGTTTCCCAAAAGACGAAATATGCGTCACATCCATTTGCCAAACTTGTAAAGGCCTAATACCTCTGGGGTTGATCCCAACATGAGGTGTGGGAAGGAAGCT